GGAACGGTCGACCGTTGCTGAAGAACGGTCGAGTGGGTCGACCGTCCCGACGGCAGTTTCTCTTGATCGCGGTTATTGTTCACGATCGCCCGGCATCGCGTCCATCGGTCGTTGCTCAGTTTCTGTGGTTTGGAGCAGTTCCCAATTTGTACGTGTAGGAATTGCACGTGGGACCTGCTGGAGAAGCTTGCGCAGATGCGCGAACCGAGGGAACGTTTCTTGCAGGTTTGGAGGAGTTCCCAATTTGTACGTGTAGGAATTGCACGTGGGACCTGCCGGAGAAGCTTGCACAGATGTGCGAACCGACAGAATGTTTTTTTTTATGTCCAAGCTGTGCATGTTGAACTCCCATGCTCCAGCTTGAGGGGGGGTGTTAGAGATAGAAGAAGGAAACAAGATTGAAGAAGGAAAGTGTGAGAGACAGAATAAAGAAGCGGGATTGAAGAAGGAAACCGAATCCCTTTGGGATTAGGTTTAGTATCTTTCCTAGTTGGATTAAGTTTAGTATTTAGTATCTTTTCTAGTTTGTTTAATTCTTATTTTAGTAGGAATAGAAGTTTCCTTGTTTACTTTACACTCTTCCTATATAAAGAAGTTTGGATCTTTGTATTCAAGACAAGAGTTTTACAAACCAATTCAATATACATAGAATTTCCTCCCAAATAATTCTTTCAAAATACTTGAATATTTTAAAGAATAATATACCTAGCTCGCATATTGAAACCGCCGACTTGTAAGAGGTGGAGTAATTGGCTTGAACTCCTTGCTTTGGGTGTCAAAGGGATTGTCGTCATTTTAAATTAAAGAGAATTGAAGAATAAGAAGGCAATTAAACTCCTTGGTGTGGATTCTTGCTTTGTATATTTCACTATTTTGTAGATGATTGAAGAAGGAGGCGATTAAGGCAACGTTCCGTTCAACTTATTTTTATGCTTATTACTTATTCTTATTAAAATCAAATCAGATCAGACCAGATAGATCAAATTAGATTAGATCAAATCAGATTAGATCAAATCAGATCTAATTAGATCAGACCAGATCAGGTCAGACCGAATTAAATCTACACAAAATTAAGATTATTATTTTTATTACTATTAATACCATTACTATTATTACCATTATTATTAGTATTAGTATTATTATTACTATTAATATTATGATTATAATTATTATTACTATTATTATTACTATTAATATTAATAATATTATTATTGCTATTATTATTATTACTATTACTACTTTTATATTTATTATTACTATTAATATTATTATTATAATTATTATTATAATTATTATTACAACTACTATTACTATTATTATTATGACTATAATTATTATTATTATTATTATTATTACTACTACTACTACTGATATTCTTATTACTATTATTGTTATTAGGATTATTATTATTATTATCATGGTTGAAAATATGATTATAATTATTACTATTACTATTATAATCAGTATTTCTATTGTTATTACTATTATTATTAGTATTATTATTATTATAGTTATTATTATTATCACTATTATTATTACTTTTATTATCAATATTATTATTATTATTATTATTATTTATATTATTATTACTATTATAATTAGTATTATTAATATAATCATCATCATCATTATTATTACTATTCTTATTACTATTATTATTATTATTATTACTATAAGTATTGTTATTATGATTATTACAATTATTATTAATTTCTATTATTATTATAACTATTATTATAAAAATTTTACTTTTATTTTTAATAAAATTCATATCAAATCAGATCCAATCAGATCCAGATAGATCAGAACTTCAAAAAGTCAAATCACATCAAATCACACGAATGGAAAGCATCTTGAGTAAGGAGGCTACATTTAGAAAAAAGGAGGCGATTGAAAAAGATAGATATAATGGAGGGATTGAGTGAATAAACTCCGTATTTTGCTAATTTGGTTAGGCATTTGGTTAAATTAGTTTCATAAATACAGGGATACTCCGTATTGTATTTTCCATATAAAATTAATTCCTTTAATAATTTTCCTCTTCAAAAATTAGTGGCAATTTTATAAAATTGCTACAATAAATATATTATTTTGTGGCAAATTTTGAATTTCCACAAATAGTTAGAGACTATTTATATATTGTAGCAAATATTTATTTTGATACAAAAATTCAAGTTTTTTGTAGCGGCTCCAGGGGCTAGGGTGGTCGTGAGAGGGCGTGTTCGGGGGTGAGAGTTAATGAGTTGCCAGAGGTGGGTAGAGGGGTAGGAATCATTAATTTTACAAATGGAGCATCGTAGATGCCATACTTGCAATAGCGTCACAATGTTACACTATTTGGGATGATGTAATTGTAAAATTCCCAAATAAAAAATGTGCAATGACGAGAGAGGTGATGTAAAAAATGTTTAGCAAAGTGATGCACTCATAAATATTGTACAATCGATTGCACGATGTTTCCCGCACATCTACAGTGAACCAAGCACTCATTTACGAGTAACTAAATTCTCATTTTCAAGCATCTGGATTCTCATTTTCGAATAACTAAATACCTATTTTTCCAAAATTCAGTTATGCTTGAAAATGAGTATTCCGCAACTAAAAGACTAGTGTTCCATTGCTCCAAAATGAATATTTAGTTAATCAAAAATGAATATTCATGCGAATATACAGAAAAACACCATATATCCAGACGATAGTATAGGTGCTCGTGTGCAGTCTTGAACTAACCTTTGCCAAAGTACCTGTATCACACATCGGGATGTATGATGTTTCGCGTACATCCAGTTGAATACTTATTTTTGAGTAATTAAATATTTATTTTTAAGTAATTGAATACTTATTATCGAGTAACTGAACATTCACTTACGAATAAAAATGTACTCCCTCTGTCTGGAAATATTCCTTCCATTTTCCTTTTTTATCCACCCAAAAATATTCTTCCCATTTTCTTTTTTAACTTACTTTTTAATTTTAAATCTCTATAATATCCTCACACGCAATCCAATTTATTCCATAATGGATGCCACGCCCCCACCCCTTCATCTTTTCATTCCAATTGACCATAATTATTACCCCACCCACCCATCTCTTCATTTCTCTTCCCCACTCTATCTCTCTCTTCTTCTCCGTACCTTACACATCTTTATCTTCTTCATCTTTTTTCAATTTTCCCCAATATATCTCTCTCTCTCTCTCTCTCTACTCTGTAGAGTTTAACATCTTTATTTTCTTTCAATTTTCCCCATTCTATTTCTCTCTTCTACTCTGCCATGTTCATCTTCTTTCAATTTTTTTATAGGAAGGTCTTTCGATTTCAATGGAAGCAGAGGATATATATCTTCTCTCTATTATTCCTGAAAGTCTTCTTGAGCATCTTCAAGATGCTTTTGGTGGCGGATTGAACTGTATGCAAGGAGAGTTGTAGGGAGACGGTGAAGTGGTGATACCAGACTCGTTTGAAGGAGTATATAGTCATGAGCAAAATGATGGCGAAGTATCAGATCTAAAGAAGTTTCAACTCTTCCTCAAAGGGACTCTACTCACAAGACAGTGGACCTAGAGCTCTTCTGTAAGCCACTTCCTATTCCCGACCTCACTTATTTTGCAGGACAAGACGATGTTGAATCTGCTTCTTCCTACAAGGGAATCTAGTTCTATGGAATTTTCAGGTAAAATTTTATTCATAAATTTTTTCGCCTTTTTCACTTGGATGCCTACTTTTGAATTTATTTCTTATTCCCCTTTTAAATTATTTTTTTTTATAAATGCAGTGAATATTGTTCTATATGACCATATATTGATAAAAAAATTGGAAATTAAAATATGTGATGAACATTATACATTCATTTGAAATTAAAATCTGTGATGAACAAGGAAACATTCACTTGAAATAAAACCAAAAAAGGTTACTGCACATGCCCACTGCCATTTCTTTTGTGCTTTCAAAATTAAAATAAACATGGTTTGGCTTCAAAAAACAAAAAATCCAAACCAGTCCAAACATTCTCTTGCCGCATTTACCTAAATCTACATACATGGTCTTCATTGGTATCCATATGCTCTACATTGAGTGTTGAGGTCTGGGTCAGTTTCTCCAATGCACCATTATAGAGCTCGTCTTCTAGTTGTATTGAATGAGGTAATTGGTTCTCTCTGGATAGTTTATCCTTTGATGCATGTGGAAGCATGTAGTTGTTCCCTCCTTTGACCTTTATCACTTCTTGCATCGCAAATTGGTAGCTCACCCATACCTTATTAAGTGTGTGGGCGGTTAGTTGTTCAAAGCTCTCATTTACTGCTGCCACTAACTTAACAACACTAGTTGGTGCATATTTATTTTTCAGAGATTGTATTGCTGCAAAAAATCCCAAATCTAAAATTTTCAAGTCAGGGGAGTTGGTGGGGTTGGTAAGACAATGTAATAATATTAAAGCCATCGGCATTGACCGCTGCCAAGAAGTCCTCATCCAACCCCGAGATGTGTGGCCTTGCGTTATCTTGTTCAATTACTATATCCCCACTTACGTGTATTGGCCATTTTACTTTAATTGCAGGAATAACCTTCTGAAGTAGCATGCCTTTCGTAACTGACTTAGTTACGTTTATTAATACTGCCTTTGTCTCCATAACTCCTGCTTCCTTTTTCTTGCTTTTCCTTTTTGCTGACACAATCTGAATAAAAGGGAAAATACCAATCTTTCCATCCCAAATAACGTGACCATTCTCCCCTAGTATTGGCCGACCAACTACAGCTAGGAACATAACCTTAGTTATGAACCTTTTTGACTTATAAGTCCTATGAGGGTTGATCTCATCCAAACCCAAGTAGAATTTCTGAGAAGTACTTGGCATAAAAAACCACTTCTCATCAATGTAAATAACATTAGAAAAACTTTTGAAAGTAGGATATGTGGCTAGTGTCTCGGGATTTATTTGATCAATGATAAACTGCAATCTTTATTTTGTGTTACCCTCTGTGAGAAATGGTTTAATTGCATTTGAGTGGCTTAGAAGCATACCTTTTCTTTACCATTTCATGCATTGTTGACTTAGGAATGCCCAACCAATGATCATATATTTGTCCTCATTTTATATTGAGCTTAAATCCACAAAAATACATTTCCTTCTCGCATTACCCCGCAACCTTCTGTCCATGTTGATTGGCAAACCTTCCTTAATTTGTTTCTTAGTTGTTCGCCATATAGATGATGATGGTGTAAATTATCGACCGGTATATCGTTTTTAGCCGGGCAAAAACGATAAACTAGTCTAAAAAATACACCAAAGTATAAACACGAGGATTTTGACGTGGAAACCCAAATCAGGAGAAAACCACTGGCCTTTTTTGGCAGTACCTTGCCAACGGGGAATTTTTATTAATATTGAGGGTTGTACACGGTACATGATTTGGGCTAGGAAGCCATTAATGGAAGCTTGAAGCTTCTTTGAAGAAATAAAATATACAATATACAATATTTCTAGAGAGAGAAAGTAGTTTGGGCAGGAGGATAAGAGAGGGAAATGGCCTCCCTTCACAATTGAGGCAACCCTCTTTTTATAGGAGAGAGTGAGAGCATCTACGGAGGAATATTCTCTTATTCCTCTATTTTATTAAACAGGCCTAGTTTGACTATTTTTCGTAAATAATTGGGAAATGTGGGCCGAGCCACGTATTATTTCCCATCAAGAAGTCCTCCACTTTTTTAAGTTGTGAGAATCATCAACTTAAAAAAGTAAATAAGTCCTCTGAGTGCTATCTTCAGTCTTCTTACTTTAGATTCTTGACCTGTTGATATTATTGCTAGTCCTCCGAGTCTTCATTAATTATCTAATTTTTTGAATCAGAAGTTTTTCCTGCAAAAAATAATATGCACAACATTTTTTTTGACCGGCCTATGTCATGCTCAAAAAATTATTATCTTTACCGAGGAGCTTAGTGTTAGGTGATTAAAATTTGCGTGAATAATTATCGTAACGAGAGCGATGTTAGTTCTATGAAGCAACGGTGCTTCAAAAAGTTATTTCGTCGAGGTCGATGTTAATACGAGTCAAGCAAACGATGCGTGACGAAAATAGTATACCGATGACAACGATGATAGTTAATAAGAATTGAATATGATGCACTAGCTCTGTTGAAGATCAGTGTTAGCTCGGCTGACTGATGTAAATACCTTCATGTCTCGCGGAGACCAACTTCAATAAAAGTGCCTAAGATAGAGGGCTTAGAATGAATCGGGTGTCCCCGATATGAGCTCAGCACACTTTTTGCTGAAACCGATGTGCAACCGGTGTACCCGATTCGATTGGGTTCAGACTTACGAGAAAATATGTGCAAGATTGGTGTGAGACCAGTGTACCAGTTCGACTGGGTCACATATTTTCTTTATTATACTGAGCAAGACCGGTGTAGTAACCAGCGTGCCAGGCCGGGCCTGTGTCTCAGTCTTCCTTTAAGATAATGCTGCTGGCCGGGCCAGATCGACATTGGAGAATTAACTATGTCGGATGGTTTCGAGCCCTCTCCAAGGCCCAAAATGCACCCTTCTTCTTGTTGGGAAACGAGGCTTGGATAACGCAGCGGAAAACAAAAATTTATAGTCCGAAACTCGATTCCACCCAAGAACAACTTACGTAAATTACTAGCTATAGTAAGAAATTTACCTTAACGGTGAAAACGGAGAACGGAGGAACGGTCGGGGATGGTTTTGAGGAGATGAACGTAGCGCCAAACGTATGAAGCCTCCAACGTATCCACACGAACTTGCTCCGGAGTCCAAGATTAAACTTGTGCTAGCAAGTTTAATATAGGATAGTAAAAACTATAATAATACTACTTTGGGAGTAATAAATATATAGTAAAATATTTATCTTATAAATATTTCTTTATAATATTTTGTGTATATTTCTAACACTTTAGAAAAATAACTTTGAACACAAAATATAATTTTCTTCTCTCTAAAATTGGGATGGCTGAAAATTTGAGATGTGTTTTTCAAAATCAAGACCTCTTTTTATAATAAAGTATATTTAGGAAATTGCTA